TGTGCTCATTCTCCTTCCATTCTCCACCAGTAAAAGTACCTCTGCTTTTGGCTGTGCCTGTCTGAGGACTCTTTGGTCCCATTTGCAACACATTTGGTCCTGCACAACAGTTATTTTTTCTCAGTCAAAGATGAAAATAACGCTTGCTCTATTACTGTCTGTCCAGCTGTAATAGCATGTTTAAGTGCAAGATTTAATAAAAGGGCAGTACTGTATTTTTAATATAATAATAGCATATTTAATAGCATACTTACAAGCAAGGAGGAGGCTATGGAAGGTAGCAACCATTTCAGTAGACCATACCCATCACCGAGTGCTCCAGGGAGCACAGTTTGAGAAATGAGCCCTTAACCTGCAACTGGGCCAGAGGTGAAAGAAATGCGTTAAGATGGATGAAGGTACCTCTTTCCTCTCATCTCAAGAAAGCCGTGACAGCTGCAAAGCCTGTTTTACCCCAGTGTCTTGCTGCAAGATGTCGTGCCTGGCTTTTGCGGCCTTTTGTAGCATCTGCTTAATTTGCCCAGTCAGTGCATTTGATTTTATGTGTATCTTACCTTCGTTAAAATACTTGTTTCCTCCCACTAGCTGAATCTTGCTCATGTAAAAGAATTGGAGCCTTTTTTACTCTGTTTAAAGCCATGTGAAAGAATTTAATAGGATTCATTATCACTAGTGGTAATTATTAGTTAAAGCCCTTAATTTAGGCCTTAAACTAATTAATTTTTATGGATAACAATGGCAACAGTTCATCATGATCTGCACTGAAATACACACTTAGCTTCCTGGAGCTATATTTCATTCCCTGATTTCTGTTTGCCTCTGATGCTCCCTCCAATTTATTTTATCCAAAAGCATACAGTGTTGTTTATCATTTCTAAATAACCCTTCTGAAACATACTGTCTTTATTTGCCTGGAGGACAGGCCCAATGCTGCAAGTTCTTTGGCTTCTCTCCTAGGATTAGTGGTTTCATGTCAGTAATGTGATTTAAAATAAATAACCAAGCTTATGCTTCTGAGCAATGAGTTTACAAAGAAGAATCACACAGTATTGCTCATAGGCTGCATCCATTTAATTCCTCCCTGAAGTTTTCATCTTCCTTGCAAAATCTGAATTTTTAACTAAAAATAACTTTATTATTTTCTATAGAATAAAACCCTTTTTTCCCTTCCTAATCAGAGCGGGGGAGCCAAACATAAATATCAGGGGAAAAAAACCCCATTGTCTGAATTGATTTTTTCTCTTTTACAACACTTAACCTCAAAGACTGTTATTATTTATTCAAGCACATTAAAGGATAGCCCAACCTAGGCAAAAAATGCACCTCTCCTGTGTTGGCAACCTCCCTTTTAACGCTGTGCATACCTTCAGCTCCCCAGTCCTGTATCTCTACAAATAAAAGGCTTATAGCTAAAAGACTGCAGCTGTCAGAGGTTGAGCAACCAGGGCAGTAAGACATGACAGCATTTCTGGTGAACAGAAGTGCTTCAGACTCTCCTCTGCTGCTGCCTAAGGCGCACACCTTAGGCACGTGTACCCGGTGCCTCTAAGCCCCTGTTGTTGAAGCTAATCGGGTTTATACACAGCAGTGATCTTTCCAAACAGCACATGTAGCAACAAAGCAACAAACTTTATGCAGTTTCCAAACTCAGTGAACTGTTGCCCTGTGGGGTTGTTGGGTTTTTTTGCTCCACATGAGTATTTCATCTCAGCTGCATGTCTCTCTGTTTCCAGTCCCAGGAGGCCCAGGTGCTGAAACATCTGGCGGAGAAGAGGGAGCATGAGCGAGAAGTGCTTCAAAAGGCTTTGGAGGAGAACAATAACTTCAGCAAAATGGCAGAGGAAAAGCTGATACTGAAAATGGAACAGATCAAAGAAAACCGTGAAGCTAATTTAGCTGCTCTTATTGAACGTCTCCAAGAAAAGGTAACCACACCATTATTCCTCACTCTGGACTAGAGAGGAAAATCTAATCAGTATTTTGAAGACATGTTGTGGGTAGCTCCTCTCTCAGTTGCTACACTTGAGCAATTTTTAAGTCAGAGCCCCTGTTGCCCATCCAAACCACCACTCACTTTTGAAACAGACTAAACATCTATAATCCCACACTCACAGAATAGTTGAGGATGGAAGAGGCCTCTGGAGGTCATCTGGTCCAATCCCCCTGCTCAAGCACGGACATGCAGGGTGTCCAGGACCATGTCCTCATGGCTTTTGAGTATCTCCAGGGATGGAAACTTCACATCCTTCCTAGGCAACCTGTGCCAGTGCTCGGTCACTCTCACACTGAAAAAGTGTTTCCTGATGTTCAGTGGGATCCTCCTGTGTTTCAGTGTGTGCCCATTGTCTCTGGCCCTGTCAGAGCCTGTCTCTGTCCTCTTTGCACCCTCCTTTGGGTATTTATGTAAGATCACCCCTGAGCCTTCTCTTCTTCTGGCTGAAAAGTCCCAGCTCTCTCAACCATTCCTCATAGGAGAGACTGAGAGATGCTCTAGTCCCTTAATGATCTTCATGGCCCTTCACTGGACTGTCTCCAGAGAAAGGTTGATTTTCTAGCTTTTAAGAAGTGCTGTGAAGAAATGAAAGGTCACTTGTGTTTATATTTTGACTTTTAAGAAAAGTCATGGAACAAATCAAACAGTTGTCCTGTGTCTGTAGTTCCTGGTTTCTCAGAGGAGAAAGACAAAGAAGTATGGGAAAAAAATCCTTCCTGTACATCAGAAGGGGCCTATTGTTTTCTTCCATAAGTCTTGCAACTAAAAAAGAGCACATTTTGTTTTGGAGTTCTTTGGTACAGCCAGAGGAAACAGGTCAATCACAATCCCCACCATGCAGGACCAAGTGTGCCCTTCTCCAAAACAACCCTTCCACACAAGAGAGGCAAATGTGGATAAAGATTTAAAGTGTTAAGAAAAGAATCATTAATTTTGCATGAGTGATCACTTGTTTCTCTCAGTGACGAACTTTCTAATACATTACTAAATTGACTAACAGACAATAGCTCTCTGTGGTTTTCAATGAGATCTTCTCCATAAGCACCTCTGCTTCTTTGATGGAGACAAAAGTCTCAGAGAGCAGGAGAGAAACAACAGAAACCAAAGGATGATGTTACAAGTAACTACGCAAATGTGGTAATTCTTGACTTTAAGATTTGTACCCAGATTACTTGACATTTGTGCCTTAGATTAGTTTGCAGGCACATATCCCAAAGCTTGTGAAAACAAAAGGAAAAGCCAATTAGCCATCCTTGAGGTCCAAAAGGAAATGGAAAGGACAGCTGAAGCATGTCCCTGTCCTGGGTTAATGTTAACAGACTGTTAAGCTCTGTTTCCACAGCAATAAGATGGCATATGTGCATGAAATCCCAAGAAGGCTTCTGAACAAAGATGGCAATAACTCATTTGGGAATATTTGTACAGACCAGTAATTAAAAACTGTATGGCTATAGAGTTTTGCCAAGAAAAAAGTGAACCCTGAATATGCAGGGAAAGAAGTGAGATATCAGGGTCCAGATCTTCAAAAGCTACACAGAACTGTGGATGCCCCGAGGTATTGGTGTGTAGAAGTTCCTGCAATCAAAGACAACTTCTGTATGCTGCAATTAACAGGACCCTGAGGAACAAGTATTTTCTAAAACCCAGCATTCAGAATTATGGATCTTGTAAGAACTGTGATGCAGGTTCAGTTGATGCAATAAGCTGTCTTGGCCTGTAATTCAGTCCAGCTCAGACAATAAAAATATAAGTGTTGGCATCTGGAAATTTTCTACCATAAAGGACCCTCTAATGCATGGAAATATCTTAGTGCCTTAAAGTCAAGTCAGCTGGGGATGGATGTTTGCTCCTGTGGTCACCTTGTGCTTGTCATTTAGTTGTCTGGGGTCTTTTTTCAGTGATCTCACTCGAGGTAAATGTCTCATAGTTTGACAGTTGAAAGGAAAGAGGCATAAACCAAAAAACCCTAAAACCCAGAAGCTGCCAAAAATAATAGTTTTATAAACACTTCAAGTAGAACACTCCTAAATTCATTTGACAGCTGTTGTTCCTGACCACAGGCCCATTTCCACAGAAGTATCTGAATATACAGTGGCTCAAGTAAGCCTAAATTAATTTGTACAAGGGAAGACAACATGGCCAAAAGTGTACAGAAGGGCCCAGCATCGACCTTTGGTAACCATGTCCTTTCTCCATCACACCCAGAGAAAGAATGGAGAGGACAGTTAGCTTTATCATTCAGTCTGAGATGTTCAGATTGACCTGTCTTGGTAGAACTAGATTCTTGGACCTTTATTTACGGTTCCTAAATGCTACAGATAACACAGTAGCTAACAATGCTGCATACAGTGTGCAAGGAAGTAATTCAAGCCCACTCATCCTTCCCTATATTTTGTTTAACATATAGGAATTCAAAGGGCAAATGGGAGCACTTGGCATATTTCATGCTCCAAGCAGCACCTCTCTATGTGGGTCTTTAAAATCATAGAATCATAGAATGGTTTGGGTTGGAAGGGACCTTAAAGATCATCTAGTTCCAACACCCCCTGCCATGGGCAGGGACACAAATGAAACTCTTTGAGGTGCTGAGGCTGTATCAGGCCATATCAGATAGAAGACCGAGCTCCAGAGCGTAAGTAGAATGTCAGCATTGAACATGCCTCAGGATGATCTGGTGGGTGGCAGCTCCCCTGAGCTGCATCCTTTAAAGATGGGTGTGCTGGGGAACGAGTTTTGTGCAAGCATCAAATTCACAGCCTAAACGGGTTGTCATCAGTAGCCTCACTGGGCAGGCAGAATGAGAAAGAGGTTTGATTTTTTCCCTTCTTGATGTTTTCCAGGAGAGGCATGCTGCAGAGGTCCGTAGAAACAAGGAGCTCCAGGTGGAACTGTCTGGCTGAAAACAGCAATGGTGGATGTGACCCATCCCCACCATTAGTAAACTCCCCCTGCCTATATTATTATGGATCATGCGATATCAGTATGGGAAATGTATGACATGGGTTAAAAAAAAAAAAAATCAAGAACTCAATAAAAAACTTTAAAAAAGAAACAAAAATAAAAACAAAACCAATGCGGTCTCTTTGCAGAATGATTTGCTTGATGTTTAAAAAACTTGGATCTTATTTTGTAAATACTTACATTTTTGTTAAAAAATACAAGTATTGCATTATGCAAGTTATTTCATAATCTTACATGTCCTGTAACAGGCTTCTGATGTCGTCTCTTCCCACTCAGTTGAATCTGCTGGGTCTGTTCCTTTGAAGCACCTCACGTCTAATTCCGTTCCCTGCGACTTTTCATTCCAACCCACCACGAGGTCAGTAGTAGTTCTATGGTGCTAGAGACCAGTCATTGCCTAATAACCTAGACCGCTTCGCCATCAATGAGCTTTGTTTCAACAGTGGCTAGACCACAGGTATCGTGACTTCACGTTCAGCTGTCCAAGACAAAAGGCTCTCAAAATGTAGTTTCTTCAAATGCAACTTAGGCGTGCTGTGTAACTGAGGGTAAATCGCCACGTGCGGTACCTGTTGCTGCTGCTTTTTGAGGCGGGAGGCAACAAATACAGCTGTGCTGCAGAATGAAAATGCGAGTGGGATCAGTTTGAGGCAAATTTAAGAGGCACATTGTAACCATCAAGCTATGACAAATTCTGGATGATGCCAAACAGCCATACAGATGCTAATTGTAAAGTGAGCTTAATTCACCACTTGAAACTTTATTGATGCAGCAACTAAAAGCATCAAGTGGCTTTACCTGTAGATGCCATGATCTATGATACTTATCTGATGCTACCACATTACGTGTGTAATAGTGTAAGAGACTACCGAATATTTCACCTGGAACCCATGAGCCAGTCGTTACCTTTTTTTTTTTTTTGACACTGCTGACTTCCATCGGTCATGACCTTTACTCTTCAGTGTTAGCCAACCCTACCTAGTGACAGACATCTAGGACTAAGAGGGCTGAAGCAGGAGGAATGACTAGACAGGGTGCTTGTGCCAAGTACAGTATCACCAAACCTAACATATCATCCCCAAAATAGCTGCAGTTTTGAAGTTGTCCCTACCCCCGGAGGTTGCTGCCTGCATATTCTACTCTTCATTAGTGCTATTTTCCTGTATGTCATTGTGAGCAAGCTGTGATTAATAAAGAATTGGGGTTCTGTGAACTGAAAAAGGGCTTGTCTCTTCTCTCGCTCCAGTACTTCTCTGACATATGCCCATGTGAGGTGAAAGCCTTATGTAGTCCTAAAAGCATGGAAATGACACTTAAACAAGACCTATTCATAAACCAAGCCTGTTTCTCTGCTAATACAGGAATAACCCCTGCGATGTGTTTTCCAGTGCTTAGACAGGTTGCTTTTAAAGATTGTCATATAAATCAAGCCTATGGACGTAACCTCTCTAGCACTTTTGTTAAAAAAGAGAACTAACTATGCACACATGCACATGTACCCCTTAATCCTGACTCAATATTGGGGTAAAAATTGAATTTGAGGGAAGAAAAGTGACTGATATATCTCTGGATACATACATCAGTAGCTGCAACAAGATTCTGGCCTTAACATACTGATTTTCAGGGCAAAAAGGGTTCCATTCACAGGATTTAGTGAAAAACACTAATTCACTAGGGGAGCTGCAGAGCTAAGATACAAAACTGGATCTGATCCCATTTAGAATTGGACAGTTGATGGAAAATTACCTCTAAGATCAGTTTTCTGATTTGAAGTCATGAAAGTGGCATCATTTACTTGCACTTTAAAAGAAATGGGCCAAAAGCTCCAGGTCTACAACAATCAGTTCCTGACCCATGAAGCCTATTTTATTTCAGGGCAGAGTTATGTCCCTGGAAGACTTGGGGCGCAGCCAGAAAGCAGCAGAAGCTGATCCAGGCACAAGGCTGCAAGCTCAGCTCTGTGTGCAATGAGCTCTGTGCCACGGGATAAGGAGAGTACTCCAACTTGTTATGGCAGCTGGGTTTCCTTGCCTAAATTCCTTGTCTTTCTGGAAAAATTACCAGAAGTAAACATAGCAGAGAAGCCAGATAGCAGATTTGGAATCTGGATGTCATGAGCTTCAGTGTTGCCAAGCCTTCAAAGTTTATATATTGCTTTAAGCCCCAGTGAAAAATGTCATTCAGTCAAGCTTATATTTCAGTTTAAGGTCCAGGATCTTGGTTTGAGGGCTCCTGGATTTTCCTGGTTTCATTTCCCAATGTCAAGTCACTGTTTTTGCTGTCCATTGACTTTGCAAGCCCTGGTTGTGATTCCAGCTCTTTTCCTGTTGGTCCTGCTGGCTACGCTGGCTCAGAGAACAGGACAAAGCCCTAATGCTGAGGTCAAACAGGGCAGCCTGCCTTGCCTCCATGGAGCTAAACTCTCTTCTCCCCCAAACGAGGGTGTCCAGATCCAAAGTGGCAGTGGGGATGGTCCCCAGCACATGTTCACCCCAGCACAGGCCTGGGCATGGCCTGGGAAATGCTTCTCCACAGGTACCAAGACTGCAACAGGGAAATGGGTGAAGACAAGAACGTTGTAGATCCATGTCAGAGCCCATGCTCTGCCGCTGTTCACTTGCATCTTTTACCAGTTGTGGGTCTAGAGTTCATTTTATTAAGGTATAGCTGTATTTTGAAAGCCTGTTTGGAAATACACTGCATATTTAATCTGTAATAGCAAAAAGGAGTATCTGGAGAGCTACAGCATGGCCGTCTCCTTAAATGACTCCTGTTTTCTTATACTATTTCCTTACATTTCACTTCAGTACTGCGTTCCTAGCTCCTCCCTGCTTGTGCTGGCAAAAGCATTGTGATGCCATGGGACTCCCACGTGGAGTTACAGATTAAAGATCTCCTTGAAAAGTAATAAAATATTCAAAACAGCCATTTTTAAGGTATTACCAGTCTGGCTACTTGAAATATCTCTGTTTATTTTCCAATTCAGCGACAAGCAGAGTTCTTGGGCTTTTAAATTAAAAAAATCAGGCTCTGTCTTTAATTAAAGGTAGACGCCCAACTACATGCCGTGAGCTTAAAGCAGCTGATGCTGCAATGCAGAGCGTTTTTCCATAGGCTGCCTGAAACCTCCCGAAGGACAGGAGGGAGCCTGGAGCGCCGGCATTGCACCACACAGACGCTCCCTCCTCTCACTGAGGCGCATGACAGAGCAGGGCAGAGCTGTGCAGCACACCAAGAAAGGCACTTCTGACCTGGGGCCTCCGAGGGCGGGTAGGGCTCACTATCCTGTTTGCTAACCCATCCGTTATGTCAAGGCTGCCATGAGGAAACTGCCCAAGTAAGCAAACAGGGGTGATTCAAAACTGCCACAGTTCACATCATCCTACCAAAGCTACAAAATTTATTCTCCAACCGAGTCAAACATTCCCAAAGTCAGGAGGCTTGGATGTAGTGTTTAAACCCGTCACTGTCACAGGACTTCAAAACTATGCTGTTTTTTCCCATTTTTATCATGCCTCTTGTCATGTGGGGAGTTGGGGTTGGTTGGTTGGGGTTTTTTTGGAATGACTGGAACAAAATCCTAACCCTTCTATAGCCCAATAGCAATGTCTGTGTATTTCTCCACTCCAGAATCCCAAACACATCACCGATGTACAGCAACATGACAGGTACATACCCACAGTGCTGTCTGCCTTTCAGCAGCCCTTTCGGAGGGTCGGGCTCCATGACCGCCATAGGAAGGAGCTTTACTCCCAGCACCTTAAACCATAGAGAGAGAAGTACTTCTCACTGGTCTCCCAGAAGGAGAGGGACATGGTTTAAAACCTGCATTCAGGGCAGCATGGACACCTTCTTTCTCATCCGTTACCTGATCCCACTCTGCCGAATCAAACCCTCTAGCCAGGTTTTTGGTGAAGAGAGGACTGCATGGGAAGAGGCAGGCCCTACTTCTATCTTGCAGCACATTGCCCCATTCCGAGCACGTTTCAGCGGTGGAAGGTGACAGCAGAAGGGACATTGCAAGGGAGGTAGTGGGAGAATTTTGGATGTCTTTCCCATGCCTCAGGACCGGTGCTGCAGTGATGCTGGAGCAATAGTGCCATGCAGTGGTCAGTCTTAATAACGGGAATAATCGTCTCCAAACACAATGGGGATGGCAAGGATTTCCTCTGAGTGATGTCCATTTAGTCCGTCAAACAGCTTACACTAGGTCTTTACATAAGGTAGAATGTGACTGTGAAATCTGCAGGCTGAGTCCAGACATTTTCAGGTTTAACTCCACTGTAACACGAGTGGCACAACCACAGATAGCTCTAAGACCAAAAAGGGCTGATGGTTTTGTGTGGAACAAGGAGTAGCCAGAGTTACAACTATTGCAACACCACCATCAGAAACTCTCATGACTATGAGAATATCTGCATCACTGAGACTTCAAACATATCTAGAAAGCAACAGATAGTACACAGCGGCTGGCTCAGAAGAAAGACCAAATACACAGAATCATAGAGTCACAGAACGGTTTGGGTTAGAAAGGACCTTAAGAATCATCTAGTTCCAACCCCCTGCCATGGGCAGGGACATCTTCCACTAGACCAGGTTGCTCAAAGCCTCGTCCAGCCTGGCCTTGAACACTTCCAGGGATGGGGCATCCACAGCTTCTCTGGGCAACCTGTTCCAGTGCCTCCCCACCCTCTCCGTGAACTTCTTCCTGATATCTAATCTAAACCTCCCCACTTTCAATTTAAACCTGTTACCCCTCGTCCTGTCACTACAGGCCCTTGTAAAAAGTCCCCCCCAGCTTCCTTGTAGCCTCTTCAGGTACTGGAAGGTGCTATAAGATCTCACCGGAGCCTCCTCTTCTCCAGGCTGAACAAGCCCAACTCTGATATGAGAAAAGCAACAGAAGTACAGGGAAGAGCAAGAAACTAGCATCAAAAGCCATCAGCAGATCAGGGACTAAATGAACCATAAAAAAACTCCCGAATTTGAAAGTCAACTTCATCTCCCAGCAGAGGAGAGAGGATGGTCACCCTTGAAGCTGTCTCCTTTGAAAAACACTGAACCCTTTCTCCAACCCCACCCCAATACTTGGAACTAAGGCACAAGACAGAGGAGCCTAAAATACAGTACATATGCAAATGTAACCCATAGCCCTGTGAGCAGCAGAAACCGGAGTTTTCTGTGGACTGCCCGTAAATTAGGGGGTTCACCCATGTACAATGAGATATCTGTGCATCAGCCATTCATATCTTCAGTGTTACGCCGATGCTCTGATAGCATCTGAGATTTAACTTTTCCTCTGAGGAAGTTAACAGAGGTTGCTTTTTCTATTCAAATGTCCACAAAGACCATAAGAGTGCATATAATTGATAATTTACTTGGAAACATTCACCTTATTCAAGTTTACAATGTGATGCCAAGTTCCTTTCTTTGGTTAGCAGTAAATGGCTGTTGGAAAACGTCTTCCTACTGTAACAGGTTGGCTTTGGTCAAATGGCTTCCAGAAAAAGGAGCTCCTGGGCAGGTCCTGAAGATGGAGGACATGAAAGGCATTAATCCAAGATACAGCCCAGGGGAAAAAGAAAAGGAAAAAAAAAAAGCCTGTTGCAACAGACTTTTAAACAAGCTTTGGAAAACAAGTGCACCGTAATAAATACATTTTATAAACATGAACTCTTAAAATATGCAATTTCCCAAAGAGTCTTTTAGATAATAATTTCCACAGGCTCATTCTTCACAAAAAAAAACCAAAACACCCAACAACAAACCAAACCAAATGTACAGCTTCTGTTGACCAGAAGAGGGCAAGCTCTCATTATTTAACAGGCAACTACAGATGGTCAAATTTTACTTTGAAAAGCCTGTCAAGTTGCGCTCTATCCTGAAATCCTGCTTTAGAGCATGGTGAAGATCGATGTTCTACATCTGCCTTAAAGTCTGGATTTGGGTTTATATGCAACACAAAAGATAGTATTTTTTTCTTTGGAGAAAATTCATTACTTTAGGCTACATTTCCTTAAGAATACAGCACTGGGCAGGCATTGTATAAGCTAAGGGACAAGGTAGCCATATGAATAAATAAGTTAAAAATAGCTGCTCTGTTAGTCTGGAGTTTAGGAGCTGGTTGCTTTTGCCCAGGGAGACTGAACCAGTCCTCCTGAGTGCAGGATGGAAGCAGGAAAACCTCACTGCTTTCCAGCTATATTCTGAGCAGGCTAGGA